CTCCATTTCTCTCTTCAATTAACTCTCTTTCTTCTATTAGTCAATTTAGATTTTTTTGGTGTTTCATGTATTACAGAGCTGTTGTTGAAGATGGGGAAGCTGTGTGGCTCACCCATTTGTCAATTTCCCATGGAAAATATTAACGCTCTGGTTTCCATTACCTTAAATGAAGATCTATCTAAACCCATCAAGAAGTACAATTATGTTCCGTCACCGTCCTCCACTTTAAAAATCAGAGCCTCCCTCATCCTCCTTGCTAGCGTCCTTATTGGTGCTGAATACTAAGAGTGGAAGGATTTTGATTTTGTTCTTCTTCTTTCTAACACCATAAGGGATAATTTGGTAATTATATAGCCAACTTATTTACATCCAATAAACCTGTGACCTTAGAGATACCCATACATTTCATATGACTCTGGTCTATCTAGTTGGCTTTTGTGGAACTTTAAAGTAATTTTTTCTTATTTTGAATAATTTTTTTAGTATTTAATAATGGATCAAAGATGAAAATGAATATAGTAAATAATGAAATTCTCTATATACCAAAATTAATTCACTCTCTATCTTATGAATAAAATCATAGGAGTAAGTAACGGTATGTTTTATGTATTTAATTTGATATACTGGCATGGCATATATTCCCTCCATTTAAAAATGTAAAGTATTTTTAATAGAATTTTACCTCTCAGTAAAGTAGTTATCTACTTTCAAACTAACCTTATCTTTTCATATTTATTCCTATTAAACTCCTTATAATAAATATAAAGTCATTTATCAATTAGGCAGTTTTAGAAAAAAGAAAATGATTACACCTCAAAAGACTAAAAATGTCTTATATTTTTAAATATCCAACTCCTCAAAGAATGCCTTACATTTTTAAACAGAGAGAGTATTATTTGTTACAATTTTCTTTGCTAAGTATTAATTTTCTATTTTATTGGTATTATTATTTCTTTTGGCAGAAAAAGTGCCACTGTGCTAGAAAGGGACGAATCCCGGTTACGTTGGGCATGTACCTAACATACAATGTAGAAAAATTATTTTCCTAATTTTACGTGCATAATGTATATAAATGATTCTCAATATTTAACAATATTAGTTATAATGCTCCCATAAAAATATATATTTATGCACATCAACCTCACGGCATAAAATTTTTGGGTCTATCACTAATTTACATTAAACTAAATAGCAAGTGATCATTTAGCACTAGAGATTGTAAGTTTCAACTTTTAAGGGAGGGGTGGAACTACCTTGTGTTTAGAATCGCCCCTACCCCCCTCTTTTGATAAGTTGGTAAGGGAGAGATTAAGTTAACGAGGAGAATTACTGCTTGCGCCCCCTTATATTTTTTGGTTTTAACTTTTGTTTCTTGCCTTTATTTTTTGTGCACTACTTTTCCTCCCTTTTTTTCTTCTATTTGAACTCGTCACCGATTTAGGAATAATGAATTTTTGCAAAGCATTAATAAATTGTTATTTTTATGTATTATTCTAAAAGTGTTTTCATGAATTATTTTCAAATTTATTATTTATTTTTTCAAAGTGAATATATTGATAATTATATTTTTATTATGTTTTATTTTTATATTATTATAAATTACCTTTTATCTTGAAAAGTTTCTCACATTGTAAAATTATAACAAATATTTAAAATAAAAAAAAGCAACACATTTAGCTATATAAAATTCACCCTTTCTCTCACTTCCCCAACACACGTTGACAGTTCTAGTCCCACCCTTGTTGAAGGGACCGAGTCAAAAAGATTGCCTAATCAATTTTACTTTTTTAAGAATAAAGGCTAAAGAGATCGAGATTAAGAACTATTTTTTGGCTGAGATAAAAAACTAGATGACTCATCTCCTTAAACAATAAATCTTGAAAAAATTCATCAAGCAAACAGATATATATGTTTTTTATATGTTATGGATTTATGTGGGTTTAGTTTGATGCTTGTTGTTTTTTTAGGAAGTAAAGCAGCCCCCAGGTGGCACCACACTGAGGAGGGTATGGCGAGAGAGAGGGGATGAACCCAAGCGCATATGAAGAAGTTTTACAACTACATATACTGTGCGTGAACGGCAATAATATGCACTCCTTGAAGCTATTAACGAATGGGAAGAATGGTGGATGAGATTGACTGAGCAATTAAAAGCCTTTAGTTTAGATCATATTTAGTACATAGTAATTACGATATTATGCAGCGGTCAAGAATCAATACAGAGGCTATTCCCCCATCACTCCATTAATTGATTAAAATTATAGTACCACTCCATCACAATATGATGAAAGCTATGTTTGGATAACTTTTCAACTTTGGTTGGGGTAACCCAAACTTAGGTTGCAGTGTTAAAAGTTCATTTAGTTATGTTTAGACAAAAATAAAAGCCAGTGAGCGTTGAAGGGACAATGGGCATTTTTAGCAAAGCTACCTTATGGAGCTTTCTAACGAGCATTGAGATCTAATGAGAAATGTTAGAGCATTTAATGATTTCCTTAATTTTTTTATCAATCTTCTCTCTCTTCAGTCTTCATTATCTTCATGAGTGCTGATGAGCTGATCTCTTTGTTCTGCCTTCATGAGTCTAAGCTCTTCACCTTCTTCTTGTCACCATAGATCTGACCTCCCTTTTCTCTAACATCTCACAATACTAGTGTTCAAATCTTTGGCAGAAGGTGCTAGTTTTGTATATGTTAGTAGTGGCTGTGGCAGAGCCAAAGTTGTTAACGGCAGTTGGTAAGAGTAGAGGTAGGAAGAAGATGATGATGATAATGAAAATGAAAATGAAAGGACTGGGAATAAAAGACGAGCACAAAGTTGTCATTGATGAGTTGCACGCTTCCTGTTCTTCATTGAGAGAGAGAGAGAGAGAGAGGTTGAATGTTAGAGAAGGAGGTGAATTAATATAGAGCACAATGTGAACAGCAATCACAAAGATGCCTGACCGCAGATCTTAGCCTTATGTACATGATTTTTATTTCTTTTTATTTAGATAATTTGAAATATAATAGTTTTATTAATATATTTATATTTGTAATCTATTTTTTTAAAATTTGTAAATATCAAAATAGCCATAAAAATATATACAACAAAATTGAGATTTTTGAAAATATAGCCCATATTATAGGATCAAACTAAGTAAACAGCCTCACATTTATTATATTTTATATTATGGCTAATTTATTATATTTGTTAATAATATGTTGATATATATTAATGATAATTCCTTATAAATTTTTAAATTTTTAATGATAAATACATTGTATATCAATATAAATTAGTCATACTTTCAAACTTTCAAAAATTTGGTCCATATATTTTGCGTACAAGATTTTTTGGGCTAGTGAACCAATTTATCCCAACAAGTCTTTAAATTCTTCTTCCACCAACTTATAGATCATATCAATTAAATATTTATATTTTATGAACTTATTTTAGCTTTTTATAATTGAATATTTAAGATTTTTTACTTATTAATTGTAATTTTAAATAATTGAATATTTAAAATTTTTTACTTATTAATTATAATTTTAAGTTTAATATTTTTTACTTATCAATTAGTCAAAAAATATATACAAAAGATTTCATATTTATTTTTATCATTAAATATCTCAATTAATTTTTAAATTAAATCATTCAAATAAATTTTAGTTTATCTAATTAATTTTAAAAAAATATTTAAATATAAATCACGTTATATTCACTGATTTTTTTCAATTAAATTTTAATTTTAATTATAAATTTTTTAATTCGAACGCTAAGTTTTTGGTATCATCAGGCTTGGCAAGCGTGCTGGATACTCGAGCAAGCGTTTCGAGTCGGATCTGGAATCTATATCAAATCTCCGTTGTCTCTCATCGTCAACATGACTTGAGCGGACCATTGGCTCTCACACTGGGGACATGGGCCTCTATCACACCCTGCTTCCTGTTATGCAGATGATTGGGCCTAATTCACGCGCATCAAGTATCCCGCAATCCCCAGTGCTCCTTTTGCCCTCCCGCGTGTTCATTATATTTGTATCCAACAACTGAAAATGACAGGGGAGAGGATGAAACAACAGGGGACGGGGGAGGGAAAACCATCAACGTCAAAAGGGAGTATTGACTGCTACGGAGTACACACGTGCGGCAGCTACGACTTTGGCACTCAAGAGTGGACCCGACCTTGGTGAACAGAGTGGACCTTAGTTATAACTCGCCATGACAGCGCGCAAGAGGCTCCTTGGCATCCCCTGCACGTGAACGTGGGTGCTTGCTTCGTGTCTTGGTGTCAAACCGGAAGCAGACTCTGGCTTTGAACCACTGTTGCTACCAAGGCCCCTTTTTGGTATGTTAAAAAGTGCATTCTATCCCTGAGCAGGCAAGCGCCGGCCATCGAAAGCAAGCATCATCAGGGACTGCCTGTGCCTGATCCTGATCCTGATCCTGCTGAAGGACCCGCACGGCCCTGATATTTTCATCCACAGTGGTAGCTATACTCATTAGCTATTTGGATGTGTTCGTTCGTGGCAAACAGTTGTTGTTGGACCCCCTTTGGATGGCCACCCCGCAAATTAAAGCGGGCAGAGGATAATAAAGTATATGCACACAGCACATTCAAAAAGATTATCATGCCAACCACTCCGCTCTACTCAACCTTTTCTCGCTTGAAACTATTAATCCCCCAAAAAACTCCCTTCACTGCTTCAAGTTCATCGTCGTTGCTATCCATTCCCCTTTACTTGCAACTAAAAAAGCCGTCATTTCTGGCTTTGTGAACCTAAATTACCAAGAAATTTTAAACGCGCGCAATTATTGGTGCGGAAACAAACCAAACCAGCACCAACACACCAATGCTTCTCGGTGTAATTAACGTCACCCGTGACATCATTCTCCCGACAAGCTGCGGATGAACCAGCCCTACACGTGACAGCATCTCACCCAAGGGCCCAGCCCCGGACCTCCCTCCCCAGTCTCCATTTTCATATATTATTACGCCCTTCCCCCCCCTTTCATCCTTTTCTTCTTCTACTCTCTCACCACCCAAAAACCTCTCCCACTCACTCTCCCTCTCCGACATCAAAAACCTTCACTTTCTAGGACCGGAATCAGACACCGGGTGACCTGAACTTTACTCCGTGGATAGTAGAATGACGGGCTTGAATGAGGCAGAGCAGGATAAGTACAACATGATTAATTTCGAAGAGACCGAATTGCGACTCGGATTGCCCGGTGCTTCCGCCGCCGCCGCCGACACGGAGTCTTCACTCAAGAACAACTGGCCTGCTGGTGGCAAGAGAGGCTTCTCCGACACCGCTGTGGATTTGAAGCTCAATCTCTCTTCCAACACTGCACAGTCACCCCACAAGCCTGTCGACAACACAACTGCTGCCTCTCCCTCAAACGATCCCGCGAAGCCACCCGCTAAGTATGCTCCTTCTCTTCTCCTTTCTTATCGCATCGTACTGATTCCGTATGTTACCTGCGACCTAAGACTTAGTCGAAGAGCAGAACTACGATTTCATTTTGGTGCTCGGTCTGCGCTGTTAATTTCTTAACCGTGCTCGAACGCTTTGTCAGTTCAGACTACTACAGATGAATGGTCTTGTCCCCGTTTAACATTAAGATAATTGAAAGACATTTAGGCTGGTAGACGGGGAAGGTAGTCATCCTAATTCCTGCGGACTCGTGTAGGGTCTAGATTTTGTTTAAGATTTGAATGAAATAGCAAGATTTAAACATACAGCATAATGTTTTTGGTCGATATTCTCAAGGTTCAATTTTGAACTTGGTTTTTTTTCTTAAATATTGAACTACAGAATGAAAATTAGGCAGAGTCAGACACGGGGAAATGGGATAACTACGAGGTGCGTACATGGCTGTAGGCGAAAAGTGAACAGATTCTTTCTCCACCACTTGAAATGAGGTTATTAGCGATTCTGATGTAGGAAAAGAAACAAAGGTATTCTGATGTCCTGATGAAGTGGGCATAATTAATTGGCGGTAATGGGGTTGGGGGACGAGCGATCCAGAAAATGAGCAGGAAAAAAAGAGAGAATGATGAGTGATCCAGAATGGTCCGCAAATTAGGTTGCATATCGTGTGCGGATGGCACGGCTGGTTGTCGGGAAGACAGAGCATAAGGACAAGACAGCAGGAATCTTTACTTTTTTCTGCGAGGCCCAATCATTTCCTTTCAACAGTCAAAACCAACTCTCCCTTGCAATTATTTATCAATATTGTTACAGTATTATTATCTTTTATCACTAGTATTCTAATCTAAACATCCTGCAAGTTGAGGCTGGCGTTGATTAATTTGGATTAACGTGGACGGACAAGCAGGGCTCAGGTAGTGGGTTGGCCACCGGTGCGATCATTCAGGAAGAACATCGGGACGTCGCAGAACCAGAAGAATAACGAGGAAGAAGGAGCGACGTTCGTAAAGGTGAGCATGGACGGTGCGCCTTATCTGCGCAAAGTGGACTTGAAGCAGTACAAGAGCTACCAACAGCTGTCGGGGGCGCTGGCTAAAATGTTTAGCTCCTTCACCAACGCCGATTACGGCTCCCCTCAAGCCACCAAGGACTTCCTCAACGAGAGCAAGTTGATCGATCTCTTGAACGGCTCCGACTACGTCCCCACTTACGAAGACAAGGAGGGAGATTGGATGCTTGTCGGCGACGTCCCCTGGGAGTCAGTTCCCATCCTCCACCTTCCATCTCTTTAATCAATCATTTTTATGTTCCTTGCCTAACCGATCAAATTTTAACAGAATGTTCGTGGAGTCCTGCAAGCGCCTCCGCATCATGAAAGGATCCGACGCAATTGGCCTGGGTCAGTCGTCATCGCCTCGCTCTTTCACTCAGCGGCATTGACTAATTTCTTTTTACCTTCTTTCTATTACTGTTTAATTATTCATTTTGCGTTGGTGTTAATTGAATGTGCAGCGCCGAGGGCAGTGGAAAAATGCAAGAGCAGAAGCTGAGCCGATCAAATTTCAACCTATATATTTCAACCCTCTGCCGGCTTGTTCGCCGGAGCCAAACTGGCTCCATCCGTATCGAATCTGCGCGCGATCGAGCTTGGATAGTATCATGTCTGTGCGGTGTTTTTTTTTTTTTTTCGGGTTAAATTTTCTTATGCGTGATGTATATGAGAAAATAATTGGAAATTTGTCAGTGACGTACAATAATATAGATGTTCATATGTGGGCCCCCCTTTTCAGGCGATAACAAAATGTGACTCGATCTCTATCGATAATGAATTATTGTGTCTCCCCAATAATTGTGACAATATGTTTGTCATATGTTCAGCTTAAAAAAACAAAAAAAAAAAAAACACCCACACACACACAGCGAGAGCGTTTCACGTGTGGGATACACATGGTTTTGTTAACCATACAAAAATTAATTACCCAAATTAAAAAAAACTAAGTTTGTCGGAGAGTTTAAACGATAATTAAGAGACAGCAGTAGTGCTGTGGAGTAATTGACTTGCTATGATATGGATTGCTCTGCTGCGAAGTGTTATAGTTACTACATGACCAGATGGGATGGGTAATTGAATTTTTTATTGTTTTCATTTGGCTGAGATTGGGTGTTGCAAATAGGCCATGTGCCGTTGTCTACAGTTTACTGAATGATGAGCAAGGGAAATGGTGGTGGGAGGCAAAAACATATGATTTCATGAACAAAATGATAGGGTGGACCCATTCCCATGCGCTCCAGTGTTCCACTAATTACTTGCCTCCCCCCTTCCTCGCCTTTTCACCTCTATTCTTCATTTCATTTTCCTTACTGTGGTGAATCATAATTTTCATTTCTTAATTAATTATTATTCCTTTACCACCTTCCAATGAAACGTGTTACGTTACAGCATGTGATTGTCTCCGAACCCGAAAGGAGTTCGGGTCATTTAAACGGTTTCTTTTGGTATGCAAATATATCTCCAGTGGCAGTCTCATTCTCACCTCTCATTATCAAAATTATATTACATTATATTTAGTTGAGAAAAAAATTAATCCAGTTACTATAGTTTTGATATAGTTCAAACATAGTACATAAATTTCAGTATAATCTTAATTCAATTAATTAAGTCAATCTATAAATTTATAAACTTTAACTTGTTACAGTTCATGCTATAATTTTATGGCCCCCAACATTCTTTTTTTCTTGAAATGGAATCAAATATTAAAGATTGCAGTATCAAAGTTAAAAAGGGACCTCATAGCAGTCCCCCCATAGTAAAGCCCCGTTTCGAAGTTCATTGCCAAAAGTAAACACGTTGAAATAAGCGTGGTCCTGTCCCCAACAATTCAAAAAATGACTTTTGTCTTTATAGTTATATTTTTTTTTTAAATATAGAGACGGATATTTTAATTAACTAGAATTAATCATAGAGGCTAAATTATAATAAATTAAAATTCAAGAATTAAATTTTAATCATGTAATATCCCAATATAAATTTTAATAGTTAATTTGGGTTAATAGAAAATTTAAAAAAAAATAAATAAAAAAATAAATAATTTTAAAAAAATAAAAAAATAAAAAAATAATAATAAAATAATATTATTAAATTATTATTATAATAATAAAAAAAAGGAAGAAGAAGAAGAAAACGAATTTGCTTCGTCCGCCGCCTCAACAGTAACAATAATAAAATAATAATAAAAAAAAGAAGAAGAAGAGAGAGAAAATAATTTTAAAAAAATGTGGGACCCACTGAATTTTTATAAAAACTCACCTGTTCCTTCATTTCTTCATTCCTTCTTTCGTGCGTGAGCTTCGGCAGAGAGAGCATCTGTGAGCCAAATTCACCGGTGCTGGGTTTTAAGGTAAGAGTTTTTAATAGGATATTTAGGGTGTGATTTTAAGCTTTTCAAGACTAAGTAAGTGTTCTAAAATTTTTTCTTAGTCATCCTTTTTCTTTAGTTTCTGAGTTTGTAGTGGTAGAAAATTTAAGATCTGGAAGAGGGATGAATTTATGTTGAATAAATATGGTTTTTGAGGTTGTTAGTAGTATAATAAATATTCTAGAGTATAAATTTATTGGTGATCTTTGAATTTGTGGCTTATGGATCAAATTCTAGACTAGATCTGAAAATATATGTTGATTTATTGAGGTTTAGATGATTATTTGGGATGAGAAATGAATTATTATGGCTATAGGATTATGATTCTAAGCTAGAGACTTAATTTTTATTTTTGAGTATTTTAGGTACGAATTTATGAAATAAAAAGAAAATTTTGATAATAGAAATTAGTTTAGAAGTTGATTTTTAGATTATTAATGTTTATTGATAATTAAAAGAGGAGTTAAAAATTATACTTAATAGTATTAACTATAGATTTGTATTAAGATTGAGATTAGGAATTATGTTATATTTTTAATTCTATTATTAGAATTATTTTATTAGTTTCAAAAATTGAAACTAATATTTATAAATAATATGTTATTTGTAGATTGTATTACTGGTGAAGATTGTGGTGAGAGAGAAATTTTAAGGAATAATTTATTGAAAAAAAGCCACAAGGTAACCATGCTTTTAATTTGTGATTTGTGTTACTTCATGTTAATTGGGTGATTATTGAGAAAATTATAAATTTTGTAATATTATATAATTGTGCAATATTATTATGAATTTATTTGATTATTGTGGGAGGTGTTGGGAGACTTGTTATTGTTGTTATATTTATGTGCCACGTGGTACGCCCCTATTGGAGCTCAATAGGTGGTTTGTAAGGGCTCGGGCTAATCTACCTTTGGCCGGGTAATTTAGCACCGAGTGAGGGCTACGGCTCGAGGTTAATGGAGGGATATAAGGATGGTTGTTTGTGTGTATTGTAATATTTCTTATATTTGTTGGAATTATATTATTTTTAATTCTCACTTAGTAAGCACACACTTAACTGTTTGTATACACTATCATAAATTGGCTTTGGTTACTGGGACTTTTGAGTCTCATTATGTGGTTAACAATTTTCAGGAGAAGAGCCACGAGTGACACGTGGAGGAGTCCCAGAGGCTTAGTGGTATAGATCCACTGTCTCTTTTGGGTATTTAATTTATGATTTATAATGTGTTATATTGCCAATATTAGGACTTTTTTATGTTTATTGTCAATTATATGAATATATAAATGTAATCATGCCTTTCAAACTATTTCTATTTTTGGTACAATTTGGATGACTGTAATTTTAATATTTGGTTTACTTTGGATTGGTTAAAATGGCATGATTATAAGGCCAAATAACTGGCTTGTGTTGAAAATTGACTAAATTGCTTATTTTACTTGTTGGGAGTATAAGGATGGACAAATGTGATTTAGTTTACTTGTTGGGAGTATAAGGATGGACAAATGTGATTTAGCCTAATGGCATGTGGGAGGTAAAAATTTATCTGAAATGTTATAGTGTGTGAGTTGAAGCCAATTATAAAATATTTTATATCGAAATTATTGATATAAAAATGTGTTGGGTGGCTGTAACCCAACTATGGTTGAGTTAAATTATTTAAAAAAAAAAATTTTGGTGTGTTACAAAATTTTGGTATCAGAGCTACATGTTTCAAATTCTTATAAATTATGAAATTGTTATACATTAACCTAGTTTATTGGCAATATACATTAGTAAATCATAATACTTCTCCATTATTTTTTCTTGTCTTGAGATTAGTGTTAACTTAATTATGTGACTTCCATCCTTTAGGAGGGGAGAGATGGTGTCTAAAACTAGGAGAGGTGGCGAAATTGCCGGTGATTCTATAGAGCCAATAGGAAATGACATACCTTCACTGCCACAACCGGAGCCCACACAGCAACAAATCGGGCAGGGCGAGCCCATACAGTCACAACTAAGGCAGGATGAGCCAACCATGAGGCAAATGATGGATCTACTATATAATCTTAGTGACCGCATGAAGAGACAAGAAGAAGAGTTGGCCGCTTTAAGACAATATAAGGAGAATGACAACCGAGAGGGAAATGGCCAACAAGAAGGAAGCCATACCAAGGTATTTAATGCGAGCCAATCTGCTGATAAAGGCTCACCTTCCTATTCTCACCATGAGATTAGTCCGAAGAATGTGAGTCTCCACTCTGAGCAACAGACATCCACGATCACAAAGATCTGGAGTACTTTTCGTAAGTTTAATCCTCCTACTTTCGATGGAAATCTTAAGCCAGCGGTGGTTGAAGAATGGATAGATCAATTGGAGAGTATTTTTCGTATGGTTGTGTGCACTTCTAATCAAAAGGTGCAGCTGGCAATATTCTTACTACAGAAGAGTGCTAAGAAATGGTGGGAAACATCAGGACCGAAGGATGATTCCTCTCTTACTTGGGAAGATTTTAAAGCCATATTGTTCGAGAATTATTTTCCTACTGCACTGAGAGCAGAAAAGGAGGCTGAGTTTCATGCATTTCGTCAGGGTGATCTAGATGAGGATGAATTTATTGAACAATTCTCAGAATTATCTAAATACTCTACTTACCTCCAGAAACATGAAGATACAGAGTGGATGGCTGAACGATTACTAGAGAAGGCGAGGCCTGATCTAAGGGAACAGTTAGCCCCTTTTGAGATCAAGACATTCAGTGAAATGTGCAATAAGCTTCGAATAGTTTCTCGGAGGAAGAGAGAGGCTAGATTAGAAGCTGATAGAGAGAGGAGGAAAGAACCTCATGGGAAGCCCCCTATCCACACCAGACCTATTGGTGGAGTAGAGAAGAGGAGCAGTCAAATCTTTGGAGGCTTTAGAAATCAGAAGAAGAAGGGCTACTACCATAAGGGCCAAACCTACAGAGGGAATCAGAGTGGGAGTCAAGGGTCTTACAGGAGCCAGCTACCTTTAATCCTACTCCTGGTGCTGCTAGTAATCAAGCATGCAGTAAGTGTGGGAAGTTTCATTCTGGTGATTGTTGGGTTTGTTACATCTGTCAGAAGCCTGGTCATATTGCTCGATTTTGCTATCAGAACCAAAATAGGGGTAATGATCAGAGACCTACAGTACCAGCACGAGTGTATGCCCTCTCTGGGCCAGAGGCTGCTAACAACCCTAATGCTATCCGAAGTATAATCCGAATCCTTGATAATGATGTTTGTGCTTTGTTTGATTCGGGTGCTACACACTCTTTTGTGTCTGATGAATGTATGAAAAGATGTAAATTGCCTGTGTGTACCTTACCTTTTGATGTGAAGATTTCTACTCCTGCTGGTTTGACTGTAAGGACTGCTAAGGCATGTCTAAATGTAGAGGTTGAGTATGAGGGTCGAAAGACCACCATAGACCTCATT